TCTATAATCTCAACATCCAGAGATATAGACATTTTAAGGAATTTCATTTCTGGTCCTTTTTCCAAGGCATATACATATGGGTAGCATAAAATTGGGATCACATTGATTTCTTTTTCACTTAACATTATATCATGAGCAATTCCTCATGTCATTAAATATCCTATAAAACATGATTGTACATCTACTCAAGATTTCATTGGCAAATGTAAACCAATTTATGTTCTCCAATTTTTATATATTTTTTCCTTCCAAAAAACATCTGTGATGAAGATCCTGAATTTAATTAGCTGTTCATATTGCTAATTTTTCCTGAAGTTAAATTAATAAAATCAATGAATCAAAGACCATGGACTCTTAGAAATCTCTTGATTTCTAGGTGCAGTGGCTCATACACATAATCCCAGCACTTTGGGAGCCTGGGGGTGGTGGTAGGGTGTTACTGCTTGAGCCCTGGATTTTGAGACCAGCCTGGCAACATAGCAAGACCCTGTCTCTACCAAAAAAACTATAAAAATTAGCTGAGCATGGTGGTGTGTGCCTGTAGTCCTAGCTACTTGGGAAGCTGAGGAAGGAGGATCACTTGAACCCTCCAGGAGTTCAAGGCTGCAGTGAGCTATGACCGTGCCACCTCACTCCAGCCTGGGTGACACAGCAAGACCCTGTTTCAAAAAAAAAAAAAAAAATCTCTTGGTATATATTGCCCAAATGCTTTCCAAAAGGTTTGCAAAAGTTTATCTTGCCACCAATAGTCTTGTAGTGGCCCATTTCGCTATGTCCTTGATGCTATTAAGTATTTGCTTTTCTTTTAAAAAGATGGGTAATTTGAAGAGGAGAAAACCATTATTTTTATATTCAGTTCTTTGATTATGATTTAAAACATTTTTAGACATTTATTATCTCTTCTGTTTCATTGTTTATTTAAAAAAATCTACTGGTCATTTTTCCACGAGCTTTTAATTTAGTGTTTTCTTATTGGTTTCTTATTAGTTTTCTTATGACTTTCAATATTGTTATCAATATCTTTGTCATATTTGTTATGAGCATTTTACTCTAATTTGCTAACTTTTATTTATGATTGTTTGATATATTAATGTATTAGATAAAAGTAAGGTTAATTAATATTCCCTTTTTGATGCTTTCTATTCTTTATGCTTAGAATGTCATCCCCTAATCTGAAATATTCTCTTTTAGGTTCTCTTATGGTTTCATTTTTTACATTTAATTTTTCAATCACAGGGTAATTTCTAATAGTTAACCAAGTGATACAGTTCAATGTATTAAATAAATTCTTCTCTGAGGTGCCATCGTCATGTATCAAATTCTTTCAAGTCACAAGTTTGGCCCCTTAATCACTAAATCCTCTTAGTTTTTAATCTTAAGTGTATCTTGTTCTTTTTTAAATTTCATTATGAAAGTTTTCAAAGGTACATTGTAGGGAGAATAGTAAACCACTCATCACCTAGCTTCAACAATTACCAACACTTTACCAATTTTATTTCATTTATCTTCCAAACATTTTTTTCTTAGAGCATTTTAAAGCAAACCCCAGACTATGTCATTTCATCTGTAAATACTTCTATATGTATCCTTAATACTTTAAAAAAAATAACTACCATGCCATTTTTACATACCTAACAAAGTTAATTATTCCTTGATATAATTTAACATTTATTTAATAGTTTATTAAACCTCCCATATTTTTCCCAAAGATTTTTTTTTTTTATAGTTGGTTTGTCTGAATCAGGATCTAAAGTATTGGGTTTGTTTCTTAAACCTCCAACAATATAATAGTTCTTCTACCACCACTGCCACCCCTCCTTTTCTTTTCATACCAGGATTTGTTTGGAGGCACTGAGTCATTTGTCCTATGAGGCATCCTACACTGTAGATCTGGCTAATTACTTCCTATGGTACTATTTAATTTGTCCCTTTATCCTGTGTATTGCTTGTAAACTGGTGGTTAGGTCAAAAGGCTTGATTATATTCAGGTTCAATTTTCTTAGGCAATATTTCATGGATGATATTATATACCTCCTACTGGATCATATCATGAAGTACATGATGTCAGTTTTCCTCATTTCTACTCATAGAAAGATTGAGCCAGTGTGTCCAGATGTCAGCCTGATCCCTTATTATAAAGTTCTCCATCAACACTGACTTAGTTGTTTTAGTATCCATTGATGATGGCAGCCTATATTCATTAATCCATTGGTCATTACAAAATGGTGATTTTTCTAACTTAGAATTCTTTCTACTTTCTTTTATGAGGAAGAACTTTCCCTTATGAATTATTTGGTTACTTCAAAATACAGTTCATATTGGAACTGCAAGATAAAATTAGATTCCTTCCCTTTATTGATGTTCGGGGTACTGAGTTGGGACCCAAGAAACCTTCAAAAGCAATCGATGAGGATTTTTTTTTTGAGACAGAGTCTCACTGTGTT